TGAGCCTTTCATGTGTCCCAGAAATCCTGCTACACAGACACAGGGCATACAAAGAAGATAACCATAACCCCCAACCTTAAGGAACTATCAGACTAGCTAGGACATAAAGCCTGTAAACATGTGCAAATGCCATTAAAGCATTAAACAAAAATAATTTGCTAGAAAGAAATAATCCTAGGAGAACACCCACCAAACTATTAAGAAAAGGGCAGTGCCTGTCACTTTTTACTTTATGCATTTCTAAAGCACTTAAACTTTTTCCTCCACTGAGTATACATTACCACTTTTGTATTATTCGGAATAAAAGATTCTTTTTGCCTGTTCAATTAGAGATTTATTTTTAACTATAATACTCAATGCTGACAAGAATATATCAAAGGAGATATTACTGTAACACTAGTGAGTACAAACTGGCACATATTACCAAATAGCTTTCTGAAAAGCTGTATCAAGACCCTTAATATTTTTCAAGCCCTATAACTCAATCGTTATACTCCTAGGAATCAGTTATAAGAAAATAATTTAACATATAGCCAAACATTTATGCACAGAAACAACTTAATGCTCAAGAATAAGAGATATCTAACTTAACTAGAAAATAAGCATACAATGAAAGGGTCAAATAACAATACTTTAAATGTCTAAAGTAGTTAATCCTCAAAAACTGTTATAGTTCTCAACGTTCTAGATGTGTGCCAAGTTCAAAGTGACAGCAGATCACTTTCTGATGACATAGGGAAATATTTATTAGTCAATATAAATATAAAACAAATTTTACCCAAGCATACCATCTTGAATGGCTATTTAAGATGCTCTCAATTAATTAAAAATGGCATAGAAAAATAAAATGAAGGGGATGTACCACAGTGCAGTTGACAGTTTAACTCTGGGTATGTTTCCTTATACTTATCCATATTTTAATAAATTTCCAGATACAGAAAAGACCAGACACACATGACCACATGAAGAACAACTCCACAGGGAGGCAAACTGGCAATAGGCACCAAAATATTAAAATGTACACACTTATTGATTCTCCCAATGTACCCAGCATTCAATGGGATTAAAGAAACTGAGTTTTTCTGAGTTTATTTTTGGTAATTTACAGATCTGATTTCTAATTTTTCTGTAATAAATATGCCTCCTTTCTGTGATCATTGGACTCTAACTGTTCTGTAATGAATGTGCCACATTTTTGTGATCACTGAAAGTATAAAAATTTTGTCCTACAAAATTCACATTTTAAAATGAGCTAGAGAATCTAAAATTAAAAACCCTGCTATAAATGGTTTTAAGCACTTAAATTAATATATTTATATATATGAATTATGACAAAGATAAAATGAACTGGTACATTTTAAAATAAATTTCTATGGTTATTTATCTTCAAAAAACTATAGTTCTGCATGCCTCTAGAACTATTTCACATTTTAAAGTGACTACTGTATTACTATTGTTAAAAAAAATTTTAGTTGTTAAAAAGCTCATTTCAACAAAACAAAGAATGGTATTATCCAGATTGATATATAGCAGTATATCAGCTGCTATATCCAGATTTTCCCAAATAATGTTCCATAGGATATTAATGGATATAAATCAAAAATAAAAAGGAGGTAAGGTCCCTTAATTCAAGAATACTAGCTTAAGTAGCATTTATTTTCTTTATAAAAAAATAAATTTATTTCTTTATATAAAAGCCTTTATGTTAATGTTCATGGTAATCTCTGAGGCAGTGCTTTTTCCGAACCTAATTACACCAGTGATTCTACATCCTAAATAAACTGAATTGGTTACTTACTGATTCAAGGGGGTAAAGAGAGGCTCCTAGGTTCCCAAAGGATAGTTTGCTTGGGTAGAATGGTGTCACTTATCACTAAGTGGACTGAATGGGAGGGGAGGGAGGATGCAGGAGGGACATCAGGTAGCAGTTATAATACTTCGGTCTGGAGCTCAGGTGAGAAGAATGGGACACAGATTTTTAACACTGGCAAATAGGTGCAAGCTGAAGCCATTACTGTGAATGCTGTTACCTGGAGAGTGTTTCTCTATTTTCATTCTACATGCCTTGAATTCAATAGGTAAGGCTTAAAAATTTATCATAAACCTCCACAGCATCATTTATTTGTTTACATATCTACCCCCTACTCCAACTTGTTCCTTGATCCCTAAGCACAGGGATCCTTGCAAGTAAAGCACTTATTATAGTACCTTATACAAAGCAAATGCTATCCAAGTAAATGCTTGTTCATAAATAATTTTTATTCCAAAAATCCAAAGAAAATCCAAATTTACCTCGTTTTCTAACTACAGGGTGCCCCCAAAGTCACCATACATAGGGGAAATGGGGAATTGTAGCTAAATGTACCTTTATTTACAAAATATTTGTTACAAATTTTACCTTTGTACAGAGACTTTTGGGACACACTGTATATTTAAAAATATATAAAAAGACCCTCAAACAAGTACATATATATATACATATGTATTAGAGATATGTGAAAATTTGCCTTTGGATTGGTGTTCACTAAAAATCTCTTTTTTTTGTATTACCCTCCAGGTTTACTGAGTCACTGGGAAATAAAAATTATATATATTTAAGGTATACAACATGATTTTTTGATACACATGTCCAATGTGAAATGATTACGACAATCAAGCCAATTAACATATCTATCATTTCACAGTTGCCATAAAAATCTACTATTAAGCTTTCACTTTGAAAGGCCAATCAGCCAGTCCCTACTTCAACATCCTTTTGCAGCCTCCTTCAACTTGTGCCTCATAAATGGAATGGGATGAGGGAGTAAGTGACCATCACATGCAACCAACATAACAAAGTCAGTACCACGAACAATGCCTAGAGGGAAAAACAAGGCACGGGAAAGCAGAACAGTTGCTTTCAAATATGCATAAGCATTCTAGAAATAACTTTCAGTGAAAAACTGATGAGTTTCTATGTATAAAAATTCTATCAGTTGAAATATAATAAATGTGTGCATAGTAATACAAGAGCAAACTACTGCATTAATTAATGATTATGAAAGCTGTTAATAATTATTAACTTTCAAATTGTTAAGGAAATACATCCACAGCTAATACACAGAGAGCTAGATCTTCTTTCTTGGGTTACTTTTTCCTTTGTAAGCCTATAAATGTTGATAATTTTTAAAGAATACAAAGCCAAATAAGAGACTAGACTTTATTATAAATCTAATACATAGAATGTGTTCTAGCTAGCATTCATAAAATTAACTAGATAACTTTTGTAAACTGTATTTACTTTTTAGTTATTTAATTCCATTGAGGCCATATGCCTTCCAAGAAAAAGAGATATTTGAGAACTCTCCATATTTTATGAGGATAAACAGCAACTTTGCAACTCCAAAATTTCATGATAAAAATCTCCAAAATCAGTGGTATTCATAGATAAATCTATGAAATACCAAAAAATACTCTGTACCTCTACTGACCTCAACGGAAACTGAGCATCTACTTGGTATAGCCAATGTGCAGCACAGTGCCCCAGGAACCATCTGGGAGCAGACAATGCTGAGAAACTGTTCTGCACTAAAAGGTCAAACTTATAAAACCTGACAACAAAAACTGTTCACAAAATTCTAAAAATGTTTCGGTAAATATTCCTATTTGTTTTTCTATCATGGTGATATTCAGCCTCGGTACAATGTTGGTTTTAACAATCAGCCACTCAGCCAGAATCTGTACCTGGCATACCTCTAATACAAATGTACAGGCAAATACACACTGCACGCCTGTGCGCATGCATGAGAGATGCGTTATGGAGAAGACCACTCGATCACCATCGGTCTTACAAATAGCAAGTTCCAAATGAATGCATGTAAAGTATTATAGGATCTATAATTTAATTTACAAATACTTTTAAGCCCATTTATTCATACAAAACGGTACACCTGAAACAGTATTTTTAAAAATGACATTCTACAGTACAATGAAAACTCCTAATTTTTTCCTTTAGAAAATGCAGATCACCAAAAATAAAAACCAATCACAAAACTACACCAATAATGTAATTAGATATCCATTCAAGATTTATATAACTACTTTCTTTTCCAGTCAATAATCACATTTCCAAACATTAATTTATAAATATAATCAAGTAAGATATCTCTGACACAGTATACGATATTTCCAAACATTATAAATATAATCAAGTAAGATATCTCTGACACAGTATACGATATAGTCACTTGGTTCAACAAAATGCCTCACAATCTGCCTAATTTAGAACATCCAAGTTTAAAAGTTAGTAATACTTTATCCATTAGCTGGATACTACATTTTCAGGAGTTTGAGCATAGCCACACATGGAACAGCCTCCAGTTTTCCATGCATGAAAAAGATCATCTCAATTAATTATAAACCAATCAAAACTATTCTTTCAGATATGACTTCACACTGCTTCTCCTTATAAATACAAATGACAAAAGGATGAAAAGGAAAGAGAGAAAGAAGGAAAAAGAGGATTGGCAGGGATGTAGGGAGGAAGGGAACAAGAAAAAACAAAACCCCAGAGCATGTTTTTTAAGGAATCATATATACGGATGTAATATACTTAATTGTCAGAGTCTCATCAAAGATATCCTATTAACATCTACTCCCGTAAAAGATTTGCTATATTCTAATAGGGATCTGGGGGAGACATGCATTCAACCATAAAAGTGACTATTTTATTTGACTTATTAACAGAAATATTTCTCTTTCCACCAAAGTATTGGCCAACCTTGAAAAGCTCAAGTAGTAGCAATTACTACACTGCATTTATATTACTACTATAAAGCAGTAATTATCAAACTGAGTCCCAAAGTCAAGTTTAATAAATATCTCAACTATCTTTCCATTACTGATCTAAAATTCCCCCCATTTCTTGCTGTTTATCAGAAAGTTCCCCCATTCAAAACATACCATCAGTTCCCACACATTCTCTTAGCCATATTTTTACTGTATTTCAAAACTTGAGTCACCTGTATGCATCGTCTTCTTTCAAGTCTCATATCATCCTGATGGGGTGGGGGAAGGGAGGGAAGAGTCCAGCGGCAAAACTATAACACTGTGTGAAGAAAAACAGATTATGATAAGAGATAATGATGCAAAACAATTACCCCTAATTGAGGAATATCTAATGTAACTACAATCCCCAAAACATATAGGTAAAATTACTTCAAATTTACAAAATTAGTTTTCTAACATTTAACCTTAACTTGAAAATAATTTTCCTTAGTCTTCATTAATCAAAATCAACTATATGTAAAATGTGTTTAGTTGTCTGAGAAAAGAAAAACAGTTTTAAAATGTGCCTACTATCACTGAAAATTTCAGGCATTTCCAGGTATCAAATAAACCTGAATAGTCCACTATTCTATAGAATTTATTTATCTGGGAAAAAAACTTTGTAATCTTCATCAATTCACAAATCAATATGCATGTGAATTCACTTTTCACAGTGATTTCCTGTCAAAGCAGAAGTAATGAAGTTACTTAATATGAAACATGTTAATCTACCAACGTTATTTGTAAATTAGGTTTGGAGACACTTCTTAACAACTGCTCCCCAAGTCTACAAGCTCATTTTTGCTTTCCAAGCAGCTTCTCTTACTTTATTGCAATTCTTTTTTTTTCTAGTATATTTTTCTGAAATTTATTGCAATTCTATTATAGTACTTCTAATTATTGCTTCCATTGGTATTTCATGACTGACCAGCAAGTTCTACAATGACATATGGGAAAGTAAAGGTAACCTCAGTGAGAACTGAGTAACCTCAGTGAGAACAGATGGTAACAACAGCAGAAGAGGCAAAACTCAACTTAGGTTGAGTCAAAAATTTATGTTTTGAATTGATTCTGTGGAATTCAATGAATATTCCAAATGAAACAATGTTGCTTATGTTGGCCAAATCCCCATGCAAGTCAAAAGAAACTATTGATTCCAAAAGATATTACTGGTCAAAGGCACTTGGGACCCTGCAGAAGAAATACAGACACAGACACTCACCCAACTCTAGACCCTCTAAACAAATTCTAAAATACGTTGTTTTCCTTTGTTAGCACTCTCTTAATTCCTGATACCTGTATTCCCAAAATTTTATATTATGGCATCTCAATCACCCTGCATAATAATCCTTTTCTCTAAGTAGTTCTATTTTCCTAAATTACTATCCAAAGCTCCTACTGCCTCAGTGAAGTTCATTCATTTCACTTAGGTGATAGGAAGAGATCAACCAGACTGAAATAATTCACATTATTAATTGCAATTTCAAAAAGAATGCTAGTTAGCCCAAATAAACCTCTTACTGGTAGAATTCCGAGTAGTGTTGCAAAAGTGTTAAAAACAAACAAAAAACCCGCTACTCCAGTAGTTCGAAGAAAAATATTTTTAGGCAAGTGGGTCAAAATAGAGATTTGAGTCTATATATACTGCTCAAAATATTTCTGCTTTTCACTTAGATTTCTCCTTCTATTTCTGAACTGTCAGGTTCTTTAAAAGTTCCAAATCTATACTCCAAATAGCAACAGTAGACACTTCAATAGAAGAGAACCTCAGGGACAGGGATTTAAATGTGCAAATTATTTTTAAATTAGGAATTGCCTGTGTCCAGAAATCATTACCTATATTCCAGATTCCATTTCTGAAGGACTACCTTTCCAACTCAGATACTGCTCCTGTATCAAGTAAAGCCCTAGATATGGAACCAAATGGTACCCAATTTGGGGTGTATATGGATAGATGGATGGATGAACATTAAAGTTTTATTTTATAAAAACAATAACTGACTCAAAATTAAATTATATTTACTACAAATATATCATTTTCTAATAATTTTTTCCTCAAAAACTGACTGTTCTTTAACTCTGGCATGGACTACTGGGAAAGAAAATATAAATTCAATCTCTATCTATGAACTATACATATAATCAAATTCTTGAGGCTATCAAAATATTCTTCACCTATAAAATGTTACAATATTACTATATACCTTGCTAACTTGAATAATTTCAATAGAAACAGATGTTACTGACATAAAATCTATACAGAATCAAATAAGATATCAGTATTTGTTTTATTTTATTAAGTTTTTAGAAATTAACAGATTTCATTACTGTTTCAAATACCTAAAACTAAAAAATATACAACAAAATTTTCTGACACATTTTTGAAACATCATTAATCACATCCATTAATCACTATTCATTTGAAAAACAGGCTTTAGCAAAGGGTAAAGTATCTCCATAAGTTACAAAATTTGCTGTAACTTACATAGCAACTAAACCATCATATACTGAGTAATGATCAACTCCAGAAATATTGACCTTGGATTACTTTAACAAAGATTCTAGTAATATTCCATAAATCCTTCCTTCAGGATAGTCATTTTTCAAAAAACAATGTTTGTATCTGGTCAGAGTTTTATGACAATAAGTACATAATTCCAAACACCAAATGTGCTTTGCATATAAAGCTATAGATACAATTTTCTTCCTAAAGAACCTTAAAAATCTAAGTCATATTTTAAATTGTTTTAAGAAAAAAATGTAAATTTTTCATCTTTTTCTCCACAAATGGAGTCATTCACAAACTATGGAGTAAAATTAGATGCTAATGAAAAATATCTATCTTTACCCCAGGAACCTCTCATACATTTTAGCTCACATTTTGCCAATGGCAACATAATGGTCTATAAACAATCCAGGAACTGAGCTTAAGTGGTTTTGTTCAAGTTAAACTTACAAACCATTTATTTCTTAGTTGTCTGAAAAATCACTGCATAAAATTAACCTACAGTATATCTTCAGAGATAGTAAAATTTCAACAGGTTGTTAAGCACACAGTTATACTGAGGTAGGTACTGGGCTTAGCCTCTTGGTGTATTTCTTTAAGGCGGTGGGGGAAGTGGTTGATCAAGACATCTAATTAAAACCACTGAAGTACTGAGATTTATAAAAAATACTCATCCACAAATATCCAGAGTGGAAAGACTGTGATTGAAATGAATGTATTAGCATGATATGGCAAGTCCAGATTAACTCAGGAGCTAATAAACTAAATGGCAGGTACAATGTATTCTCTAATGTGACAATGTTTTGTAATGACATTCATAGCTAATTTCAAAATAACTAAAGCAATTGAGAAGTATTGCAAGTAGCACGTGAAAAAAATCAGCATGATACAAGGAGCTTCAAAAGTACTGGTTAAGTATTGTTTTATCCAAGTTGAAAGAAAGTACATAGTTTTCTTATAATTATTTTTTAATTTTATGTATTTTATAGATGTTCTTGCATATTTCACTTTAAAAATTTGACCCATATGAAAAGATAAAATATAATGCACAATGTGATTTAAAAGGACAATTTAGATAGTTTAGAAGATGCCAATTAAAAATAAGCAACTACAAAAAAATAAGCTACAAAATAGAAATGAAGAAAAACATAGATCTAAAATTTGACTGCACAAATTAAAATTACAATGTGATTTTCTAAAGTTCATATAAGGTAACTAACATTTCTTATAACTTTTTGCTTATTTACATTAATTAAAGAAATGACAGAAGAAAAAAAGATTTTTTTTCCCCACATACTAATTTTAGAGATAGACTTTCTGGAAGTGTAATAGCCAAAGAAGCCAAAGGGAAATAAAACAGGGAAATGTCATGATTTTGATATCTAATACATAGGTAAAAAAAAATCTTTCTAATTCTCAATAAGATGGTCAAGTAGACCATCTTATTGAGACCATCTTACAGAGAAAAAGCAAGACCATCTTACAGAGAAAAAGCAATTACACTAACTAGGGATTTCAAGTGAAATCCTAAAAATCAGGAATATTTATCACTCCCATTAGATTCCCTAGGAAAGTCATAGTCTTTTAACAGGGGAAAGGCAAATACCACAAGACTTTAGAATGTGATATCATCCCAAAATTACTAGTACAACTATAGGGAAAAGAACACTTGCTGAATGTTTACTATGCACCAAAACACTCAGCTGAGACACTTTATAGATGTTGACACATTTCACCTCATAACAGCCCTACAAGTAGATAGTGTTATTTCTATTTCATCAACGGGGAAAGCATGGGTCAGAGAGATTAACCGGCCTACGGTCACAGTTTGTGAACTCTGGTTGCACAAAGTTCACCATCATATCAAGATCCTTCTCATTAAGGATCACTGAAATGGTTCTGAGAAAATTATAAAGATGGAAGAATCAAGGTGTGTCTAAGTCTAATTTTTAAAGAAAGGATAAAAAATAAACATAAAAAAACTAAAAGTCACATAAAACTCTACTCCCAAAGATAAGTTTGGTAGTAGAATCCTTGCTCTTTATAAAAAATTTTATATTTTTACATTAACAATTTATATTTGCATCATTATTTTAACATGTGCATAGAACTCTACTGCAAAGATATAAATGCATTTTTTTTTTTTTTGGAGACAGAGTCTCACTTTGTTGCCCAGACTAGAGTGTGTGCAGTGGCGTCAGCCTAGTTCACAGCAACCTCAAACTCCTGGGCTCAAGGGATCCCACTGCCTCAGCCTCCCAAGTAGCTGGGACTACAAACATGTGCCACCATGCACGGCTGATTTTTTCTAAATATATTAGTGGGCCAATTAATTTCTTTCTATTTATAGTAGAGACGGGGTCTCACTCCTGCTCAGGCTGGTCTAGAACTCCTGACCTCGAGCAATCTGCCCGCCTCTGCCTCCCAGAGTGCTAGGATTACAGGCGTGAGCCACCGAGCCCGGCTGATACAAATGTATTTTAAGCAAACACTTACTGGGGGATATGTAACTGTTTCCAAATTTCTTACTACCATGAATTTTAAACTTTGGAGCCCGCTTCTTTCCATCTGCTAATAGGAATTAAGAAAAAAGTGATATTAACAAGACAGCAAGAGCCATGAAGATTTTTTTCAAATCTCTTCTACTGATGTGCTTGCTTACAGATATTATATGTCACCTACACATAATGTGCTCAAACTTTTTATTATTCAAGTAAGTTCTAGATCATAAGAGGAATTTAAAAGTGGTTGCCTAATGACCTCTAGGTGTTCTG